ATATGCGGTACAGAGGGTCAGACCCAGGGCCTCACACATCCCAGGCACTGCTCTACCCCTGAGCCACAGCCCCAACCCTCATATACATATTTTTTGAATCCCATAATTATCTCTATTGTGAGCTTATTGACAAGAAGATATTCTTCCAGGCCTCTCAGCGTCACAAGTTGCTGTGTGCGTGAGGAGGACCCAGCTATGGACTTTCTCTCTCTTTCCCTCTTTTTCCTGGAGGCAGACAGATTGGTTGAAAGATGTTGTAATATTCAGATGGCACATGAACCTCTGTAACTAAACCATCATGGTAATGTTGCTGGAAGTGGTGGCAAGTGGTTGATTTCTGGATATTTCTTGAAGGGTTTGATGATTGGATTGGGGGTGTGAAAGGAACCATATAAATCTTCAATATCCCACCCCTACTCCACCCTCCCAACAATGAAGTTTCCACTGACTGTAATGGAAATGATTTGATTGCAGGAAGAATGTTTTGAGAGTCAAGTGTGAGTGAAGATCTTTTGGTTAAGTGTTTTTTTGTTTTGTTTTATTGTTGTTGTTGTTCTTTTTTGGCTTCGAGGATTGAATCCAGGGGTGCTTAACTACTGCAGCACATCCCCAGCCCTTTTTATTTTGAGACAGGATCCAGCCAAGTTGCTTAGGGCATTGCTAAGTTGCTGAGGTTAGCTTATGAATTCCCCATCTTTCTGCCTCAACGTTCCCAGCCACTGGGATTACTGGCCTGCAACAGCGACAGTGTGCTCGGCCAGTGAAGTTTAATTGATGTATTAAACATTAAGCGGAGCTGACCCATGTGACTTGATCAGACATAGATGATATAGGTAGTGCCAAACTCTCCGTCTCACAGTTTAGGAGGGAAATGATTTGTTGAAGAATAAACCAATCATAAGCTAAACAAAAACCATAAAAATTCTAGGTTGTTTTATTTTTATTTATTTATTTATGTATTTATTTATTTTTTGCTACCAAGAGAATGCTGTCATATTCTTTGCTCAGAGTTACCCATAGAAAACAAAACCTAAACCGTCTGCATTGGATGCTGACTCCCTTAGTGACTTGCCCTTTCTTTATCTGCTCTGCTTATCTTCAGAGTGTATTGTAATTCTAAACATTCAAGAGCTTCTTGGACATTTTTGACCCTGGCCAGGCCCCCAGAGGCCTAACCACAGTTACTTTTCTTGCTAGATATGCCCCCACCCCCAACTGAACAGGAAAGCTCCCCATTGGTGCTGTTCCCTTATCAGCAAGATCAGCTGTGCCCCTTTCAGTTTCTGACATAATGGATTTGGCTTCTTTGCCAGCTCTCTCTGCTGCAAAACCTGCCTCTCAAAGCCCTGCTCACTCCTCCTCCCGAAGCAACCCCTCAATGGTGCTGGGTGGTGTGCAGGGCCTTTCTCTTCTAGACAGACCAGTATAATCTCATCTATCTGATGTCATGGGCTTGGCCATTTCATGCATCAGTGAGTGAACTGGAGGTGATTCCAACACAGCCACTTCTTTCCAACTTTCCTTCCCACATCCTTCCTTACTGTGAATTATTTATGCCTCCGTGTGTGTGTGTGTGTGTGTGTGTGTGTGTGTGTGTATGTGTGTGTTTTCTTTTGCCTAGAGTGCTCTTTCTGGCTAATAAGTACTTATCCAAGTTTTAGCTCAAAACCTGCCAACATTCCTAAACAGAGAGTTTCCAGGGCAAAGTTACACAGGAAAAGTGTTGTATTCTATTCAACTCTGTAGTAAGTGCCTTGGTGATGACCCTTGGTCACACTCTGAAAGCTATTGGAATGTCCACATTGTTACTGGGTAATGATGTTATTCTATATCCCTGAAGCAGTGAATCACCATGAACCAGGTTGTCAGCATATTTAAAGCAGATATGAACATTCATGGTGGCTGGTGTGATAGCTAGGTGACCAGCTCCCTCTAACAACTTTGACTCCATATTCAAGTGGACTTTGCTTGGCAGGTGCAACTGACAATGTCCTTGCAGTTCACAGTGTTAGACCACGACACAAGAAAAGACCACTGACTCCAATTGAAATCAAATTAAAGCAAGCTTATTCTCTCACTGAAAACCTTGGGAACAATACAGCGCCACAGCTTTCTTGCAGCCCAGCTTTATAGCCCAGAAAGTTACACAAAGGGGGGTTACAGATAACAAAACTCTGACGAGCATAACACAAATGGTAGTTTACATTTTTGCTGGCCCTGGCATCAGAATTTATGAAGCTCATTAGAGCCTCAGAGAGGGTTGTTATCTGGCCAGGGAAAGGCAAGATTTATGAGGCGTCACTAAAGTTTCAGAGAGGGCTGCTATCTGGTCAGAGAGAGCCAGGCATGGGTGAGTTCAAGGCATGGGCAGGCATTCCAAGCAGGTTCAGAATTTGCAGTAATTTATAGTATAGCCGAAATTACTTTTTCATGGCTTTGTGGTGAGATGGCTCCCAATTTTAAGAGAAAATCAGTTTGAGTCTATCAACAGCTGGAGAGAAGCACACAAGTGTGATTACTGACTGATAACAGAGGACAGGAAGCCTTCTCCAGCCTTCTGCCACCTGCATTTCCCCCAATTTTCCTGCATTCTATCCTTTGCTGTAATAAATCTTAATCTGTTAATCTGTTAATGCTGAGTTTTATAAGAGCCCCCCCCTCCCCCCAAAAAACCCCACACTTAGCTAGTGAATGGCCAAGAATGGACAATCACAAATTTTCCTTGTTCCCACTGCACTCAACACATTAACCTTTTAAAGAAGTGATGTTATTGTGCCCCAAGGCTCAGTTCCTGCTCCCAATGCTAATCAATGCCAATTTAATAATGAGAACACAGTTTTGAGAAAAATAAGTTTTATTGCTTTGCTAGCAAAGGAGAAACACAGGGGACTCCTCTCCCAAAGGCTATGACTCTCCCTATCAGGAGGGACCTGTGTGTGTGTGTGTGTGTGTGTGTGTGTGTGTGTGTGTGTTTAAAGAACTCTTCAAGGTTATATTCCAGGTATGCTCTGATGGGACCAGGGGGCCCTGGTTAGGATTCACTTTTTAATTTGGGAGGTAATTACTTACCAGATCCTCAGCAGGCATCACTTTCCTGTAGTGCTTGTGTTCAAGGGCAGTTAACTAGGGGAAGAAAAGATTATAGTCTCCCTAATCTTGTTAGGGAGGGGAAGAGGGGAGGAGAGAGAAAAAAACATTAAAAAAAAAAAAAAAAAAAAAGCCTAGAGCAATGAGGGCTGCAGAAGGTGAAGGGGCCACTGTTACATTATAATGAAAATATTTCCTTCTTTAAAAATAGTTGTAGGCTATAGGCTACTTCACGTCTTTTTCTAGTTAGCTTCTAGTACAGTATCTGACACATAAATATCTGAACAAGAATCCTTTCAGACAGAGAGAAAAATAAAACAACACATGTGCTTAAAGAAAATAAGGGCAGAGAATGGCTGTACAAGAAATATTATAGGAAGAAAGATTAGAAACACATTTACCAATATTTACAAAGAAGAAGAAGAAAAAAAGACATTTACCAGTGGCAGGGGCAGAAGGGTTTTCTGAGGACGAGTTCAAAGGTAGCTATCCAAAGTCCCCACCTGTTGCAAACTACTACTCACTTACTCACAAGGGTAGGAGTCTGGTAGTTGCAAAGCCTCTGCAGAGTGACTCTTAGTGAATTTACAGTCTATCATCAACCTAACCACTTGGCAAGAAAGGCTTTCTAACTATTTACCAAAACAAATCAAACAAACAAACCAACCAAAAACCAAAACCAAAACCCTAACTAACCAAACAAAACTACATTCCTGTGTTCCTACCCCGTCCTGGTCCTTAGCATTCAGTGTATTTCAACATCCCCCCC